TATATGTTATTGCTATACCCATACTATTATTAGTAATAGTTTCCACCTTTGAAAACTTGTACATGCACAAATCAACAAAATTTATGCAGTATTAAATATAGGCACATTACTAAGATATGTGACTTGTATATGAAATATACAGTAATACATTATGTGATTTATTTATGTTATTCACATGCAACCATTTTTTTTGTAGACATTGATGAGAGCGATGGTGACACTGTAAATGTTAGCAGTAACACTATTACATTAGATGATGTATCCACAGAAACCAGTGATTTGGGTGAGGAGTTGGCACAACTTGTTCTCAGTGAATCAGCTGGTAAGAACTGCCACCAGATGGTATCCCCTCTTTTATTGTCAGAATCTGTCTCACAAAATATTTTGGTCCTGATTATAGGTTCATGCTATGGTGAAAATAAGTAATTTCAATGATTAAGTATACAGTCAATGCAATTTGTTGGTTTATATGCGCTTCAAGTTTGGTGGTAGTATATTTTGCATATCATGCTCACATGTTGGGAATCTTTACAAAATACTAAATTTTAGCCTTTTTTGTCCAAAGTTATTTTTCTTTATAACTTCAAAACAATTTGTCGAATTTTAATCCAATATTGCTTGAAATTATGATTTGAACATGATGAATATTCACGTTACATTGTGACAAGCACAACGAAGAAAAATTGGGCTCAACTGATTTCCCTACATTTTTGATATACATTTTAATATTCTAATCAGGAACATTGTAAATACCCTTATATCTAAAAAAAATAAAATTATGTATCCGATGCGAGTCTATCATAATTTTCTGTTTACCAGGTCACTAAAATAAATTTTCACCATACCAACATGACTTGACATTTACTGTCACCGCTTTACTGTTAAAACAGCAACCTTGTCTGCTAAGTTACATGAAACCTTTTTTAAGAGACACCGACTGTGTTCTGACATTTCAGACTGTTTCAGTACATACATTTTGTTTCGTTAGGTTTGCAATTTATCGTATAGAAATTATGGATTAAATGAATGATAGTCTATTTATATCTTTCACTGTTAGTTTGATGTCTCCAGTTAAGGTTGGTTAATTGGATCCAACTTGTTCTAATCCTGTAACAATGTAAATTTTGCTGTTCAGTACAATATGGCAGTGGCAGTAAGAAGCATGCTTTGGGAAAATAATTTCCCCAAATAAAATAGTCTGAAATAAAAACAGATTAATTTGTAAATTATGATTCATGCTGCAACTATAAGATTATTTAAGTTTTATATCATTGATTTCAATTTTACTAGTTGACTGGATTTTTTGAATTGAATAAGATGTGCGGCTGAATAATTATATATTTATCATCAGAATATTTTACTAAATTGTCAAAAGTATGATGTATTGAGATGTATATTACTTCTTAGATATAGGACAAAACCAGCTTCTATGAACATTAAATAGCAATGTGTCATACACAAAGACAAAATGTAGTGAAATCGGTGATCAAATTCTATAGCTTAGTGTCTATTAATGTTCATTGTTGAACTCGTTATCTTTCTAAATCAACATGTAATCACAAACTATAAATTTGTAAATTATCACAAGCATGATTCAATAGACTGATTGAATATTTTTAAAATTATAATAAAAAAACAAATGTGTAGACATATCCCCCCAAAATAATTAAAATATAGGTGGGTACTGTACTTCAACCAAGAGTGACAAATATCTTGTAGTCTGTGACCTACAGTTGGGATCAAATCAGGAAAAAGTTGGACACTTTTATGGAATATTTGGTAACTTGTAAGTTTGTTTCTTTTTCAGATGAATGTTTACACATAGTTTCTGGTACAGTGGAAGAGAAATTGTTTGATGGTTTGAAAACTGGTGTCAGTGAAAACGTTCTCACCAATTTAGCAAAAACTGCTAATCTTCGTACCATGCATAATGGTATGACTTTACTACACTATGCTGCAATTCACAATAGATCATTTGTCTGTATTCTTCTGTATGCATTTACAGATTTTTCACAAATCATTTACAAACAAGTGTCAGACAGGGAAAGTGTTCATTATAAACTGACGGCAGCTGATATCGCAAGCAAATTAAACCATGTCAGCTTTCTCAAAGAGTTGAAAGACGTTTACAAAGTAGAATGTGGTTTTAGCGAGATCCATCGAGCAGCTAGAAATGGTGACCTGGTCAGAATCAGAGAATTGCATAAAAATGGTGCTGATGTGAATACTATAGCTGAGCAGTTGGAAATAACGCCTCTATATATGGCTTGCGGTGCAGGAAGACTAGATGCTGTTAAACTTCTGATAGAGCTTGGAGCTAATGTGTCTCTACGATGTGGGGATCATGGCGGTATGTGTTTGCATCGAGCTGCAGAATGGGGACATTATGTAATGGTTCACTATTTGGTCAGCGAGGGTCATTTTCCTGATATCAATGTCAAGAACACTAAATATGAGCATACAACTCTGCATAGAGCTATTGTCGGATCAAACCCGGATATTATCAGGTTTCTTCTTGAGAACAAAGCTGATATCAATAGCACATCTAAAACAGGAGTCACGCCACTGCATTATGCTGTATCCTGTAATGAAATTGATTGTGTGGGTATGCTGCTGTCTCAAGGAGCTGATGTCATGAGAACATATCAAAATAATTACAGTATATTGCATCATTCTGCACTGAAAGGAAACCTGAAGATTTTTGTGATGCTGGTAGAGCATATATATAAAACCCTAGGACCTAATGCAGTCAAAAAACTAGTCAGTTCCCAAGCAGAACTTTGCACTTCAGATTACGTGTACCTGGTGCGAGGCACAGATCGTGGGCAACCTGCTTGGCATTATGTGCACATTGACAGGTCAAAGTTTCCTCTTTTTATGAAAAACACACAGGGCAGCTCCTTGGATGTTGGGGATTATGGTATCATGGTTAAATCCGGTTGGGGGGAGGATCCACCTGTTGATGTCAGAGATTGCATTACATGTGATTCTCAACAGCTGAAAGGAAGTAATTTTTCTGATATTGTACCACTTCATCTTGCATCTAGAGCGGGCCATGTTGAAATCACAGCAGAGCTGATACGGATTGGATGCAGATATTCATGCCGTTGATGTGAATCACTGGACCCCTTTACACTTTGCGGCAACACATGGCAAATTAGAGGTTGCTGAGAAATTAATCGAACATAACTGTGATACCAATGCTTGTGATAAAGACTGTCATCGTCCACTGTATATGCTATCTTAAATGAACAAAAACCTCTAGTACAACTCCTGGAAGGTATCTCTTTGAAAACTCTAAAATTGAATTACAAACCAGATGAAATCAAATTGCTTCGGGAGAAATCAGAAGGTTTAATTGCATTTCAAGACAAAGAATATTGTAAATCGTTGCTCAATGTTGATGATGAGAAAGAAGAACACTGAACGCAATGGCACATAATAAAGGAAATTTTAGTTTCAAGGTTGGCCATACTAAAACCTTTTTGACAATAATACATAAAAATACTGAAAATACATAAACTCATTGATTTCTTGAAAAATTAGTTAAACAAAATTTAATTTGGATAATATGGTTAATTAGTCTACTTTGTACGCAATAAAGTATTTGTGACGCTTGATCATATTTTATGACACAAAAAAGACATAATGGTTGATGTAGTCAACCCCACTGGTCAATTTGCTCTTATTGTTTCATGTCATAATCATTTCTCAGACATTCCTGTATAGATTTCAGTGAAACTTTGTATTGTTTCATGATTTAATTTAAATTAGATTACTGGTGCATACAAAGCCAGTATATCTTTGGTTTAATCAATTTCCTGACAATTTGAGCATGAAGGCTTATGGATTAAGTTTTGTCCATTTTTTTCCCGAGGTTCATGGATAAATTTATTTTCAAACTTGGTTATTAAAACCAGTATACATGTGCTCTCATTTACTTTTCCAGTTAGATTCAAAATGGTAGATTGGTGGTCATATTTTATCTGAAAACGGGTCTAAATACCCCAATTTTTTGTGTGCAGATCAGTATTTGCACAAACCAATTCTGTTTAAAATATGGAATATTAGTAACACTCATGGGCTTACTAAGACAGGTACATGTATATTGTTTTTTTAGTATTTGGTTTGAATTTGGCCAAGTGGTGGTCATTCTATATGTCAAAAAAACTTTGTTACCTTTACTTATAATGTGATAATATAATTACTATATTTAGTTTGTTACAGAGACAATGCATCCTTTCGAAAGTTTAAATCTTAAATCTTACAGTCTATACTTGGTACATAGATTATTGCGCTTCTGCATGTCACGGAAAGTTTATGTATCTGTATACCAATATATAACAATTATTTTTCAAATATTGTAAGCTTGATACATTGTAAAATTTAACAATCTCTTCTATATAGTTTTATTTATGATGCAGACACTGTAGTACAATGAAAAAATATATTTATTGCCAATAAGGGGGGGGGGGCTCACCGAATCCCACCTAAGCTGCACTAAAGCAACGAATAACTAACAGAGAAATGCGAAAACATGATGAGCCCCCCAAAAAACGTATCAGAATAGTAAAAATGCATAAACAAAAGTATAACCATCAACACTGTATAAAAATGGGTTAAAATTAGTAAATGAGATTTCCTGGTAGATGTAGCATGACTACAACTACAATGATATACGGTAGAAGCAGCCTGACTGCAACTACAGAGTAACGGTAGAAGCAGCGTGACTGTGACTACAAGGTAGTTACCGAATAACTGTAACTACAGGAATGGTAGAGGTAGCTCTACTGGTAGATACATTGGTATTGTACTACAAAGAATTTATTAGTATATGTAGGTAGCAAAGCTACAAGGTAGAAATGGCGAGCACCATAACTACAATGGTAAATGAAGTGATGGTGAAAAGTAGGTATTTAAAAAACAGTACTAAAGAAACTATAAAAACAATACAATAAAAATATGCATAAATTAAAACTGTTATCTTCGGGGGGGGGATTGCCTTAAGTAATAAGGCAAAGCCCCCAAAATTATGCCAATTAAATAGTGACCCCCCAAGATATTCTGTTACAATAATGAAAAAAAAAGTGCACATCAAACTTATTAACATTTACCATGTTACCATCTGAAATTTACAACTGCTTCATTTTTGTCTCTCCATATGACTGGAAGTTTATAAATAAATATAACATTACCTCATTTCATTCACTACTATCTTAAATGTGAACTATTATTGACCTGAATCCTGATCAACTTAATCAGTATTTTCTATAATTAAGATTTTCTGAACTGTCATGGAAAATGGTATCTTATGAGAACATTGCTAGACAACAAGGCCAAATAAAAAATTGTTTGTTTCCGATAACTTTGATATAATTATAAATAAACCAAAAATTTATTACTATGCAAATTAACTATACTCATTCTACCAATAAAGTAATGTTTGATTTCATTTATTTCCTTCTATGTAGTTAGCACAAAGGGAAATAAACCAAAAAATAAGTTGACAACACCAAGTTGTCAACTTGTATAAATTCACGTAAATTTGCCGTCAACATCTAGTTGTCAACTCGTTAATTCATCTCGCTGTCAACTTATTATAAATTCACGTGAACAAGTGTTTGCCGACGACACCTCGATGTCAACTTATTGATTCACAAACTTATTATAAATTCACGTAAATCAGTGTTTTCCGACAACACCTAGTTATCAACTTATTAATTCATCTTGATTTGTTACCTACATGTTGACATAAACTTGTTGATCGTGATGTGATTAGATTTATTTTTGCCAGTGATGTCATTCTTATGAAACTGCCAACATGTCGCATTGTAATTTACTAGCATCATGGCTTCCGTTTGCTGCAGTTTATGCAGCTCTCGTGGTCGTCAAAATAGCTTAAGCGGCCAATAAGAGCTGCTAAACTGCAGCAAGGCTTCTGTTTTCTGGCACAAATACAAAAAAGGTTCGAAGAATTCCAGAAACTTGCGAGTACAATTTCAAACTCTAATGAATTTAAAGTAAATTCTGTGAAAACCTATGTGCGTTCAAAAGTGTCAAAAGCCTTTGTTGAACTTTGACTTCTATGTAAACTCTAGCTCTGAGTACAGTCCTTATGCTGATCATTCTATGTTAACTCCTGGACGCTGCTAACGTAATGAACATATATCCTGCTGTTCTGCTTGATGACGGTGTGAAAATGACCCCTAAATCATCAGATAGAAATTAAATATACTGGATAAAATGCCCCCCTCCCAAATAAGTGAACTAGACTAGTTGACCCTTGGTAAACCTAATCAATCAGTTGGAAATTCCCATAACCCCCTAGCTGCCTAATTTAAAACAAATAATCAAAATCTTGGCAATTTGTAGTATTATTATTTATTTGGCAAAATTTTGTAATGAAATTAAAATTTCATGAGGATGAAGTTGCTAACAATTATACCGGTAAGTTGCAAATGATAGTTTTAAAAGTGTGATTTTATTCTAAAGCTAGGGAGTTCATATATTGCTGGCTTGATACGGCACATACTCGACACATATATTCGTTGGTACATCATCCTGCAGGTGCGTGTTTCTAACTTGTTATTTAAAATTTATAAATTCATGCATTTTTCTTTTTGCTAATAATTTTTTTGTTGTCTTTGTACAGAATTAGTCGTTTTGATGCACAGTTAATGCAAATTAAATAATATCAATTTTAAAAGTGTCATTGAGAATACCTAAACTTAAAATCCTACAGCAGAAACTGTGACAGTGATTCTGTAAATACCATTAGTATGCAGATAGGTTTTGTGATTTTTGATATGTTAATATTATTCAAATCTGAGAGAAATATTACCACAGATAGATTGGATGTATGCTTTTTCATACCCAAAACTAGAACTGTTTTGGTTTCTGGGAAAACTTTTTTGATTTTCTAATTATTTTAATTTTTTATTTAATACTGTATACACCAAGCAGATGTTCACAATAGTCTAGTTTCGAGTGCTGTCGTTACCTTAAACACTTGAGTGCTCTGGTGAAAACAAAAAAAAAAAAACATTCCAATTTCACCAGCATAGGTGGGTTGATTTCACTGCGTATATGTTTGATACCTAATCATAACACAGGAAACCAGGGAAACCAATAAATTGCGCAAACTAGAATTCAACATTCTTTCATGGAAAGCTATGATGGCAGGTATGACTGAATTGTTTGACTACCTATCCTAAGTGTCTTTCCCTCAGTGGTATCTTACAATGTAACTATGGATACCAATATATTAATTATATCTTGCTTCCAAATGAAAATTAGGTTTTCAAAATTCCATGCAACTATGCAAAATCATTGTGTTCAAAATAATTTTGTTATAAGAAAATATTTGCTTCTTTTCAGACATGTATTGACGTAGTTCACCCCCCCCCCCCCCCAATAGCTTGGCTATCACGGAACCTGAAACAGCCTATTTTGTATGATGTTTGGTCAGTTGGGTATTAAACGGGAAAGTCCCATATTCAAAATAGGTTAGGGCGTAGACTTGTTTTACCGCATAGTTTTTACATACATATTGCTTTATGATCACTAGATTCAGACCAGACTTCATAAATTGAAAATATTATCAACTGATTGTGAAACTAATTATACTTGGTATATTCATTTATCCCGTAATGGAATAATATTCTATTATTAATAAAATGTTGATGCAATACTTTATCGGCTTAGTTCATTTTAATCTGATTCGAATAAGAAATCCTACTTTTTTAAAAAGTATTTAATTATTTTAAAATTAGTTAAAATAAAATAAGATGTATGTAATAGATGGGCAACATGTATTTTTTTGTTTTGTTTAACGTTTTATGTTGCCCGTAATAAGATTAACTGTTATTCAACATTTAGGTTGCTAAATTTGAACATTGAACAAAACAAAAAATCTATGTTGCCGGTAACTCAATGTTTGGTTAACTGTTATTTGAACACTGAGTTAAAATTTGGTTCCACAAAAGTGGGCGTGGTCATTTTTGTAACTCTATGTTTTCGTAACTCGACGTCCGTACCTCAAACAATTCAGCATTTCAGCGACTTTGGATAATTTATATACATGTATATCTCATGTGGATAATTGGTTCTTTCGAATCTGTAAAAAATGTAAATTGTTGTACAATATTAAAACTGGGAGCATTAAATATTATTTCATCAGAACAACTAATCTTTGCTTTTGTTAAAATGTAATTCATTGAAATGTTCATGCTAGAAAGTT